GAGGGGAGGGGAGAGGGGATAGTAGGGGATAGGAAAGGTAGCAGAATACAACAATTACTAATTGGGCATTATGTAAAATTGTGGATGTATAACCGACGTGATTCTGCAATCTGCATTTGGGGTAAAATTGGGAGTTCATAACCCACTTCAATCTAATGTATGAAATATGATATGTCAAGAGCTTTGTGATGTTGTGAACAACCAATAAAAAAAAAAATAGAAAAAAAAAAATTTTGTGCCAGAGGGGCTCAGAGACACCTATAAGGCTTCATAAATATGAGCCTCTTAAGAGGGAATGGGAAGAACATTAAAAAATACCATTCCACCCCCCTCCCCCCAAATCTAGGGACATTCTACTACTGTGCTATATAGCCAATTTAAAAAAAGAAAAAAATATATTGTTTTAGTTGTCAATGGGCATTTATTTTATTTATTTATATGCGGTGCTGAGAATCGAACCCAGTGCCTCACAATTGCTAGGCAAGCGCTCTACACTGAACTTCAACCCCAGCCTCTCCAGTCAACTTTACTTTTTTATTTTGAGACAGGGTCTTGTTGGCCTCAAACTTGTAATCCTCCTCCCAAGTTGCTAGAATTACAGGCATGTGATACCACACCCAGCTAAAACACCACATGTGGACTAGTGCCAAAGAACTGGTAGGCAGGCAACCAGGTGCATGAATGGTGGTTAGGCTGGTGGGCAAGGGGACTGTACAGCATTACAGGGAAGCTGCATATGCAAAGGTACAGTCACACACTACAGGAAGGATGAGGAGCCAGGAAGCAGAAATGAAATGAACATGAGGGTTGGCAGCCTCGGGATAAGAGAGGCCCTGCTTGCTTCTGCTGCAGGTCAGTTAAAAAAAGGTGTTTATTAATACTTAGGAAAAAAGCATTGTTGTGCAGGTGAGGACAGCACACTAACAGAGGCCTGAGGAGGGTGAACTCTCTCCTCCAACGCTGTTTTACACTACTATTTTCTTCCTAGTTTAGTTCTCAAGAACAGGCTTAGTTTTTCAAGGACAATAAGACACAAATTTTATAGATGAAATATTTCTGTATTTCTCCCAGGAAAAAATAGCTTTCCTAGAATATGGGGAGTAGAGGCTAATAGAGGTTTCATGAGGCCAGACAGGAGGAGTTGTTTACAAAGATTAAATTTCCAGCTTCATCTTGAAGATTTTTAAGGAGATAATGAGAATAAGAGAGGCTCTGAGCTTCCCTCAACAAGAAGTGAGAGAATCCCTGCTTGAGCTAGCTGAACAGCCTACTGGACATTCCTTTGGCTAAATACACTACAGTTCACAAGGATCTGAGTGCTGACATCTCTATGGTGCCTAGACAGGCTACTTCTACTTGCTCACTTCAGGGGAGTTCAGAGAGGATCAGCCCAAAGTCTCCTCCAGTGATATGGTTAGGATAAGTATCCATGGGAAAACCCCTCCCCCTGTTGCTAAACTCTTTCATACAGACACAGTATGTCTGCTTGAGCAAGTCACTTGCTCTGGTTTTGGTTGGAGGTTTTCTCCTCCCCCACCCAAATCCACACATCTAGATTTTGAAGGTATCTGACAGATTCTGGTGTCAATGTATGTGAATCCAATCCCAATTCTGCCTCCTACTGTAGGATCTTGCGCATGCTATTTAAATTCTCTTAAGTCTTTATTTTCTCACGTGTAAACAGTAACAACCCCAGCATTAGCTTCCTGGGTTTTCTGTGTATGGTTGAGGTACTGATGGAGAAAGAGTTCTTTGCATACTGTGGCACATTTAAGTACTTCTCTTGAACAGCAATTCTGAAAGCACGGTCCTTGATCAGGAACATCAACATCACCCGTAAACCTATGCAATGCAAACCTCCTGAATAAAAAACTCTGGGAAGGGTACCTGGCAATCCAGTTTTAAGAAACCCTGCGGACAATTTTGATGCACCCTCAAGTCTGAGACCACTGTTTTGGAGTAATGCTCTGAGAGTCACCTTATGGCATGAACATCCCGGGCATATTACCAACGTTAGATTCCTCTATCCTATGGTCTTCACAAAATGTCTCAGAAATTTCCATTTTTTTTTTTTGTCCATCAAACTATATTCCCCAGAACAGTGAAAAACAAAATTCTATTCCTCAGACTACCTGGAATCTCAAAGAAGCACAAAATCCTTTATTAGATCATATTTTCAGTTTTTAATCTGGTCACCTTGGTTCTGTGTGGCAGCATCTTCCTGTGAAGATGGAAATGTTGTATCTGTGTGGCTACTGAACATCTGAAATGTGGAAAGTGCAAAGAAATAACTGAATGTTTTATTCGGTATTTTAAACTTAAATAACCACATTAGGCTAGTAGCTAACTTACTGAACAATTTAGTTCTGGAGAATCTGACAATGGCAGTCCCTGAAATCCTAACAAATTATACATCTTGTTAGATAAGAGAGGAAAAATACTGGAAGAAACTGTTACCTCTTGCCTGATCAGCATATAGGGGACAGGGGTGGGAGGTGCTGGGCAGTGAGACAGCATATGGCAGTATAAGCAACTGTGGTTTTAGACAGACTTCGTTTGAATCTGTGAGTTACTCAACCTAAGACTGAGCACCATGACACATGAAAGGAGAGCACACTGTCTATTCCCAAAGCTGATGACAGATATAAGAATACAGGTGGGAATACCTGGACGAGCTAGACAGATGGTAAGTGTTCCTGAAGTGCCAGCTCTCCTGCTTCCAATTTGCTTAAGGAGAAAAAATTAAGTTAAATATCAGGAAGAGTTCAAGACAACACAGGAGATGTCACCCAGTAGTAAGTGGGTCAAAGTGAATGAATTAGAGTTACAACTGGAGTTCTGAAGAACAGGACTGTGGAGTACTGCTCAATAGAGAGGTGGGCGTGGAGATGAACTTGGAGGGGGCATAGGGCAAGAGTGTGGGCACTCACTCAGATGAGAGGCTTGAGCAAGGGCAAAATCAAAAATAAGGCAGTGCTGGGACACCAAAGAACTTGGTTTGGTTGGAACAAAGGTGAGAAATGAGGAAAAGGGGAAAGCCTAGGAAGGTAGTTCAGAAAGATGTTGAGTGCCCACAGGAGAAGCAGTATGCTGCTGGGGATGAGAGCTGAGATGCTGGAGGCAGAACAGTCCTGACCTGAAACCCTTGTTTTACTAACTGTGCTATCTTGGAAGAAGCCTAGTTCTAGTGTCCTCATCTGTAAGATGGGAACTATAACAGTACTCAACTCAGGGTTGTTGTAAAGACTAAAAAGGTATGTATAGAAAGGCTTACCTCAGAGCCTGGCACCTACTAAGTGCTCAATAAACGTCAGCTGTTATCACTGAGGATTTTACACCTCCTTCCATAGCAAGTGCTAATCTTTTTAGGTCTACTCCTTTAAGAATGTAATAAAAGCTATGGATGCTTTTACCAAAAAAGGTATCTGCCAAAATACATACAAACTTGTGCCTATAATTCCAGTTAATCTGTAGAGCAACTCATATCCATTCCACAGACTTCTCTTAGGAGGAGTTCACAGGCTCCACATCAAACATCCCTGTCCTAGAGTGACGGAGGAGCTCACTGATTGTGGTTACAGGGCAGTCGTGGCACCATAAATGGAAGGTGAGAAGCTGACAGCAGCAGGTTAAGTACTCTGCAACAGCCAGGTCAGCGGGAAGCAGGCACTCCTCAGATCCCTTCGGGTGCTAGCACAAGTATGGCTTATGGTGAGAATACAGTTGACACTTTCCTACTAGACAAGGACAATGACAGAACAAACAGTGCCTTCCCTCTTCCTCTTCTAGGCTTCACCAAAGTCCATTACCAAAACCATGGCTTAATCAAGACAACGGGACAAGGCCTCTTAGGCCTAAATGTGTGCCTAGTCTTTCATTCCTTTCAGGCTTACTGTTAAACTCTATTTCCTTGATTATTTTACTTTAATGCTTATTTTTAAACATATGCATTTGCTGTGGAATGGGACAGGGTACAAAGAACCAAGAAGTTGAGAACGGACGCCCAAAATGATAAAAATAAAATGAGAACAGAGATAACATATACTGTGCTCTAAGTGCTAAGTTAGTACTGATTCATTTAATTGTGCGGCAGGCACTAATATCATTTCCATTTAACAGGTGGGGAAAACTGAGGGATTGAGATAAGTAATCTGTCTAAGGTCACAAAGCTCTGAAGTAGCAGAGCTGGAATTTAAACTTGGCAGTTAGGTTCCTGAGCCCTTACTTTAATGAACACTGTCTTGAGGGGACTTTAGGGTAATACAGAGGAGTGTACCTGTGACTGTCATTAGAAACTAAGTTTCTAATCCTCTCCCTTGGTATTTCTGACATGTCAACATCCCAACAGTGATCCACGATAGATATCAAAAGTTTATGTTCCAGGAAATCAGCCACTTCTACCAGCAGCTGCAAGAATGACCCTTATCCTAACAACCAATCCCAGGCAGTAAAATCCCAATATGCCATTACTAACACCTCACAGCTTAACACCTGCAAATAACTCAAAGATCACTTTCCTATTAGCTCTTTTCTCTGGAGATGGGAGGCTGAGAAAGATGTGAAGGGAGCAATGAGATTTGGACTTTGTGTTCCTTATTCAAAGGGAGGACATGGCCTTAAACTTCAGATGCACTCATAAGACAGACAATTTACCACATCATGGCAAAGAAATATCCTTTTTGCATTTGGGGTTGAATTCAAATTCAAATAACCAGCACTGTCCCACTCTGTTGATCACAAGAGTGATCTGCCATGGGAGGCAAGGGGCCAAAAAAGTGATACAAATGGAATCCCAGAGGTTAACACTGTATCACCTCCCCAAATCAACTTTGGAAGGGGTAGTTTACACAGGTTAATTTTCTACAAGACTTGTTTTTATCTTTCTTTCTTTTTGTGGCTGTCCAGGGACTTGTGCATGCTATGCCAGCACCTATCCACTGCATCCCAGCCCCTCTTTTCATTTTGAACAAAGATCTTGTTAAGCTGCCTAGCTTGGCCTTGAACTTGTGATTCTCCTGCCTTAGCCTCTGGAGTAGCTGGAATTATAGATGTGTGCCACTATACTAGTTAACAGCATTATCGGCCATCCCAAAATATCGAAGCAGCATCCCAAAAGGCATCTGACCTAATCTCTTTACATCTACAGTGACACTGAAAGGAAGTTGTCTGGCTTCTGCTTAACAATGTCAAGAGATGGAGTAGTCACTCCCTGTGTTTCATAAATAAAAGGCCCTCAAAAATCTTAAAAAATAGATTCTGTAGTTTTTCCCAGAATTAGATTATAACAACACTTGGGTAAGAGTTACACATGCTTCTCCACAGGAAATGATGAGGCTTTTAGGGAGTTACTAGTCAACACTTGGTCTAATTTTCTCACTGGAACCCAGTGGCTCACAAATCCAGGTCTGAATCCTCTAATAAGTCAGAAACTAGCTCCTCATCACTGCTGGAAATGCTCATGTAGCAGGAAGTGAAGTTGGCCCTTACCTGGGGGCTGTGCCTCTGGACACTGAACTGGGGGTTGCCTGCGAAATGGTCACAATGTCTTCATCCCCTCCGTCCTCGTAAAAGCTCGCTAGCGCGATCTGAAACAGAGAGGTAGTACCTTGGGACCCTTAAAACAGTCCTTCACCTAATACATATCTCATCTGAGCACAAAGGAACAAAAATATAGACACAGCCTACACTTACAAGATGGCTTGTGTCTGGGGCCATAGAAAATTAGACCAAAAGGTAGTGGATGAACTGTTAAGACTTCATGTCACCTGAAATTCCACCCACTAAGGGGTAAAAAGGGCAAGAAAAAAGATACTCTTCATTCATATTTTACAAAGTAAAAGCAGCATGTATTTATTGAACATTTATTTATGTGCCAAATTGTTTTTAGCACTTGACATGCGTCAATTCATTTATTCCTCACAGAAACGCATGCGATTAGTACTATTACTGTCTCATTTTATATTGATACAGAAGCACTCTGAAGTTAAGAAAATTGCCCAAGGTTATGGTTACTAAGGAGTAGAGCCAGGTTTGATCCCAGGCAATATGCTCATATCCTCATTCTTAAGTGGAGTCCCTCCAAATTGCCACTTTTCCTTTCTTTCTGAAGCCCAATTTCTATCTTCCTCCCCCGCTTTTGGTACTGCAGATTGAACCTAAGGGCTTTACCACTACGTCACATCTTAAACTTCAGATGCACTCAGAAGACAGTCCTTTTTGCTTTTAATTTCGAGATATGTCTCCCTAAGTTGTGATTCTCTTGCCTCAGCCTCCTAAATTGCTGAGATTACAGGTTACACAGATTACACTGTGCCTGGCTCCTAGTGTCTTACTCTGGGAAATGGGGACACCTGTCCCATCAACCCTGCATACTGGATCAGATGATTAAGATTTAAGCACAATCACATCTTAGCTCTATGCATACAGAAGAACTATATAAGAGTCCTTTGGCCATTTGTGACTATATGTCTCTCACCAGCTCAATTACACATATTTACTAATCATATACTCTGCACAAAGAAATAAGAAAGAGCACTGAGGTCTACAGAGATGATGAAGACACCACTCCTAATCTAAAGGAGACACTGAATGTATATAGTCAGTGTACAGGAGGCACCGAGCCAACATGGGACATATCAGCCTATTGGGAGGTAGTGCATTATCTTGAAACTTGAACCGAACTGACATTCAGAGAGCCTACATTCAAGTCCTGGCCCTGCTGGGTAAGTCACAGCACATACATGAGCCACTTTCTCCACCTGGAGCGACACAATGAGATAGATGACCTGTTGACCATTACACTATGTGCTTTCAGGAAGAAGATTTTCTATTTCGCACTTCTGCCCAGCACAGGGCCTTTGCCTGTTCAGGTATGTGATGCTTTAACTCTTACATTTGGGAAGCAATTTAAGTGGTGCTGTCAGCAGATCCAGTTCAAATCCCAACTCCACTACTTACTGGCTGAGTGACCTTGGGCACATTCCTTGTCCTTTGGGATGTTAATTCCTCATCCATAAAACCAGGCGAGTCTTTACTTGTTTGGTTAGAACCAGATAGAACTGAGTTCCGATTTTATCTCCCACTTGGAAGCCAGTAAGGCCTTCCTTGAGCAAAGCCACTTAATCTCAAACCTCAGCTGTAAAACGTGAAGGTTAAATGACATAAAACATGTAAAGCAGTACAGTGCCTGGCTTGTGGTAAGTACTCAATAAATATTAGTCATTCATCATCATCTATAAAACGTAGGCTGGCCAAGAACATTTATGCAACTCCTTCTATAATTAATTATTGAGGGCTTCTTACATGCCAGGCATTGTTCTAGGCAGTGGGGGCTCATCAGTGTGCATTTTAAAAATCCCTGTCTCATGAAGCTTGTCTTCTTATTCAACAAGTATGTAGTGAACACTTAATATGTGCCAGTGAATTAAATAGTAAATTCCAAGAAACTCCCGTTTTACAGTTAACTATGGGGAAGAGGCTCCAACCCTGCGCCACCTCCCCAGGGGTAGTTTCTCCCAGCATTAGGTAAGAGGGGGCGTGGGCCAACTCCGTGGCCAGGTTCTTCCCTCCGCCGCCGCCGCCACGTTGCGGCTACGGAATTGAAGGATCGCGTCGTCGGGAGCGTGGTTCCACCCAGGAGCCAGCGGCTCCGACCCTCCCGGCCTGCGACTAGGGCCCGGCGCGGCAGCCACGCCCCCAGGCGACCCCTCTCCACGGCGGTGGCTGCTGCGGCAGTGCGCGAAGTCTAGCCAACGCCGCGAGCGGGAGAGGCAGAGGGAAACAGACCCGGCAGGGCAGGCCGGGGCTGGCCCGCGTTCCTCGACTCCCAAGCGCGGCCGGTGACGCGTGGCCAGCGGCCCTAGCACCATGAGGCCTGGGTCGGGCCCCGACCGGGCAGGGATGACTATGCGCTTCGGCAGCCTCGGGCTTAAAGCGCCAAGCGCCCGCGCACGGCAGTCCCCGGCCCACCCGATGCGGCCCGCCTCGCGGCGCTACCTGCAGGTCCCAGCCGGCGGACTCGAGGAAGAAGCGGGCCCGGTCCTCTTCGGTGCCCGTCACCGCCACGAACTCCCTCAGCGCGTCCTGTCGCTCCGCCGCCATCTTCGCCCCGTGCGCTTCTCAAACCGCTCCGGCTACCGCCGCACAGCCCCAAACCTGCTATCGCGTTCCGCTCAGCGGTCGACACAGCCCAGACGCTGGGCGCCCGCCCGCAGGCCCCGCCCCACGCGGTGCCTCACGCAAAACCCTCCGTGCGGAAATCCCCGCCGCTCCGCGCCCTCTGGAGGCGGCAGCGCGGTCTGCAGCTTAACGGCGGGAGTGGGCGGGGCGGAGGATGAGAGGTGGAGCAGGTCTTCCACTCCCTGTGGGAGGAAGGTCCCTTAGAGAATATGAGACTCGTCATCTCATCCCCTCATTTCACTCGTCCATTTATTTACTTGTTCAAACATTTCCTGAGGCCTGCCTATGGCCTGATGCGCTTCCAGGGTTATAGATTTGGCAGGGAACGAAGTTGCTGCCCTCTTATTGCTTACAGTCTTGCAGGGGTGTGGGGGATGGGGGAGGACGGCGGTGCCCAGACCTTAAATCTGTCAATCCTCTACTCACAACCTTTCCATGGCTTTTTGTGTCACTCTGCACAAAAGACAGTCTCATGGCATGCAAGACTCTTGTGAGATGAGCCAGCTCCTCCACCTCATTTTCCCCAGTTCCCACTATGCTTCTGGCTCTAGGCACCTTGCTCCTCTTGCTGTTCCTGAAAGGTGCCAGGCATGTTTTGGCCTCAGGACCTTTGCATTTACTGCTTTCTTGTGTTGCTTAGAACACCATTTCCTTGCAGCTCAGCAAAGTACTCTCCCACTGCTTCAAGAGCACGTCTTCAGACATAAGTCTATCATTTAGGTACTCAGCTTCTTTTCCCTTTTGTCTCCTGCCACCCTGTCTGAGACTCTCTTCCCTTTGTCACTTCCTGATTCTTCTTCAGGTCTCTGTATAGGTGTCCTCTTCTTGAGAATCCTTGAGACACTCCTCAGCCTCTGTCCAAACCCTTCTTAATAAAGTTGTTTTCTTGGGAACTTTGAAATATAGCTGGGCTCAGTGGTGCACACCTGAAATTCTGGCTACTATAGAAGCCGAGGCAGGAGGTTGGCACGTTCAAGGCCAGCTTCAGCAACTTAGTGAGCCCTGTCTCAAAATTAAAAAGGCTGGGGATGGAGCCTTCAGCGGTAGAGTGCTTGTTTAGTATGAGTGAGGTCCTGAGTTCAAACTTGAGTACAAAAAAAAAGAAAAAAAAGGAGAAAACAAAGAAAATTTGATGCACGTTAAAACTGTGCGAAAAAAGAAACTTGACATTTATCTGTCAAGTGTGTTAGGGTCCTGAAATACCAGTTACGTTGGAGGATCACAATTTTGAGGCAAGCCTGAGCAACTTAGACTCTGTCTCAAAATTTACAAAGGAACTGGGGGCACAGCTCAGTGGTAGAGTGCTTCCTCAGCACACACAAGGCTCTGAGTTTAATTCCCAGTACTGTGAAGACAAACAAAATAACAACAAAAAAGGATTAGGGTCTAGATTCTGGTTATTATGAGCAGGTTTTCAGCTTTACTGGGTCCTGGCAGGAGTCATAGGAGGAGGGTTTTTTTTTTTGAGGTTTTTTGAGACTCATTTCCATTTCAAGACCACCTAGCCCCACCCCTGCTCCTCAGCCCCTACTCCCTTCATTGTTTTGCCAACTCCATATGCCCCACAACCTCATGGAAAGTCCAAGAGGTGGAGGCTCGCTCTGGACCATGCTCCATGCATGACTGGAGACTAACAACAATGAACCCCAGCTTAAAGATCGGTGGTATCTGGGCATGGTGGTACACACCTGTAATCCCAGGTACTCAGGAGGATTGCAAAATCGAGGTGGTATAGTGCTTTAAGACCTCAGCAACTTTGCGAGGTCTTACTTAGCAAGATTCTGTCTCAAAATAAAAAATGAAAAGGGCTGGGGATGTGGCTCAGTGGTTAAGTGTCTCTGGTTTCGATCCTTGCTGCAAAAAAAAAAGAAAGAAAGTAATGTGTGGTGATTGGCTCAACTGGTATTAGAGACTGAACCTGGTCATCACCTCTTCTTCAGTTTGTTCCACTGAGGGGAGCCCTTTCTTAGGCCAGGGGACCCCTAGTGACTCTCCCAGAGGCCTTGGGACATCTTTCCCCATAATAGTACCTGGCAGTTATGTTTACTGAGCACTTACTATGCCCTAGACACTTTTTTTTTTCTAATCTTTATTTTGTTTATTTACTTTTAAGTGGTGCTGAGGATCCAACTCAGGGCCTCACATGCTCAAGGCAAGCGCTCTGCCACTCAGCCCCAGCCCCAGCCCCACCCTAGATACTCTTAAAAGAGCTTCAGATTGACTAACTCATTCATTCTTGTGGCATCTATGGAGTGAGTTCTGCTATTATCATTTTATCAGACCTCCAAGTGGGCTTGAATCCAGGTATCTCGTGCCTCCAAGTCCGTGTTCCTAACCACTGCACCACTCCTCCTCTCCTTGCCCCTTGGGTCCCTGATCACCAATTCCTTTGTCTGATTTCTGCCGGAAGCTCCTGACATTCTGACTAGAGGAATTTAGGAATTTGATCAGAAGCGGATGTGAGGGCATGAACTTGAAACTACAATTACGTAACACTTAGATCTAAGTGTCCTGCACAAAACTGGGTGTGTACATGCTTATTAAATGAGGAAAATACACAAGCGCAGGAAAACACATGAAATTGTGCAGGCCCATCCTGGATCCAGCTCCTGACACAGCCCTCTATAAATATTGGGCCCTCAGCCCATGTCCGGGATGCTTCTCACTCTCAAGACAACCCGTCTGCTTCCTTGAAGGTGTATCCACTTTCCTAGATAAACCTCCGTCTATGCCTTTGTGTGGCTCGTGCTGAAATTCTTTTCTGTCATGGCCAAGAACCCCGTGGGTCCTGAGTTCAGTTCCCCCTCTCTTCTGGGACTCCTGAGACCCTTCGACAGAGACATCTTTTCTCCCGTGACAAGATGACACTGGACCCTCCAGAGGCTTCTGCAAAGAATGTTAACAACAACAACAACAACAACAACAAAACCCAACAACAGTTGTTACTTTTTGCAGTACTGGGAGTTGAAACCCATGGTTCTCTGTCACTGAGCTCTACTTCTAGCCCTTCTGATCTTGTTTTTGAGACAGGGCCTCACTAAATTGCTCAGGCTGGCCTTGAACTTGTGATCTTCCTGCCTCTGCCTGTTGAGTGGCTGGATGTAGCTCCTTCATCCTCCTGATTCCCTACTATCAACACTTGTCTCTGGAATATTAGTACTTGGAGGAGGTTTGTTATTATTGAGGTGTCCAGGTGGGGTCCAGGTTCCTGGTGTCCCAAAGAATTGAGCAAAATCCTCACAAGTGACAGGCAAAGTACAGATATGCGGAAGGTGAAGGTGGAAGGCACGCAGAGTGGACTCAGCAAGAGGCC